TGTATATATATATGTATGTATATATATATAATATATATATATTTATAATCTACAAATAGAAAAATTCGTTTCCTGAATAAAATATGTTGTGTGTGTAATTCAGAGTTTCTGCATCGCAAAGCTTCAATTAGATTCGTGTTTACTCGAAGCCCAGTGGCCCAGATTTGTATGTCTCTGCATATACAATACAACTAAAAAGTTTGAATCCTGGTCGAGGCAATATTTTCACTTTCAGATATTGCTAGTCTTACTGTTTACCACAAAAATTTGTTTTTTTGTCTTTCGAATACACGTTTTTATATTGCACTTGTTATTATTTCGTTTCAGAAAATGAAATCTACCCAAAGTGCTTGGGTTTTATTATTGATCTGTTTGCTAGTGACGTTGTTGTGCCAAATGTCCTCCTGTCAACACCACACTACCGGTAGAGATCGTAATGTAAATAATCCACGATTACAATGGAAATCCGGCAAGCGAACACAACCATCAACAGAAACACAGGTCGGTATAATAGAACATTGTAATCAGTCAGATAAAGTACTCTATACTAAGTCGCGCGTAAAAACATGTAGTCACGGTGCGCGCGTAAACATGTAAAGCTTGGTTTCCGTACAATCTACACGCCATCGCCGACAGCTTTCGGTGATGCCGATTGGTCGGTCGAATCGGGGAGCCCTCCCGATTGCATCGCGGACTGCTACGTAATCTACCCAGTACAATGATTGCACCGAAAACACTGTAGTACGTGACACTACTGAGCGGTTCTAAGGAAACCAGGCTTTAATTGATGCTACGTGTTTCATCGCAGCCAATCAAAATATGCAGAGCTCAGGATGTTTACTTTTTGCAACTTGAACGATTGTACAACAGCCTTTTCATTAGTCAAACATTTAGTGCTGAGCTCGTCTTCGAATTCCAATGAACTGGATTCAATTACTGGAAAATGTCATTTTTTTTCTTAAAAAATTGCGAGAGACGTCATTGTAAATTTATCAAATATATACTAAGAGCCAACATAAAAAAAGCAGCTTCGTTAGGTCTATATCGAAAAAGTCAGCTTTATTTAAATGTGAAAACTGCATACTCTGTAGGGGAGCTGTACAAACAAAATGTAATACAATTGGAAAGAGTAAAGGCATATCCCATTATGCAACTTTTTTTATTTTTAAATTTTTATTGTTATTTTATTCAAATGTACTCTACTTAAAGGGCAGTTGTATGTTAAAATACGTTAATCTAATTTTCATATCATCTAATGGGATTTCTACTAATTGGAAACGCGCCAGCATTGTTCATGTTTTTGTTTTCTTTAATTGACATCAAAATTAGAAAGCATTCGTAAGTCAGATAGTTAAACAAAACATGTGTCAATAACATGTCGTTGTCGTGCGTAAACTTTATTCCTGTGTAACGAGCGCCTATATGAATATGCGTTACATCACAACCAATCGCTGAAAGCTCTCTGAGGATATTCATGTTTTTTTATAACTCGTAGAATGAATTTTAATAGCCAATCAAACTACCAAGCTTCAACAAACGGAAAGAATAGCCACTTTCATAACGTTGTTTTGTTAGTTCTTGAACGCTGTTTTAACTTGCAAGCCACCTACTGCCTATTACATGTAGGACACTGGCGTCCACGCTACTAAGGAATTTACATAATTCATCTTGATTTGGTTTTATTATATTAAGCTTGTTTATTATTGTAATTGTTTATCTTTTTCATTCTATTACTTATTTTCCATAATGACTACTCGCCCACGGAGTTTTATTTTTCAAGAATCTTTAAGTTTGGATCAAGGGAGTTGAATGTTGAAGTGGTCGGTTTTCACACGTAACATTTGTCAAATTTCTTTCCAACTATTTAAATCACCAGATTCAAATATTGAGAGCACCAATATGTAGACCTATATAACTTCAATATAGGTTACAGTAGATCTTGTAAATGTTGAAAAAAGGGTTCTTACATTATTACAGTATTTTGTAAGCGATGTCAATGAACCTTGAAAGATTGACCAATCAGAACAGTGTCATAAATACGCGCGTGTTGTGCCACAAAACGCTTGTTTACGAACATTTACGCTATTGTTTTTTGGGACCTTGCAACAATATCCAAGGGGTTCATTATAATAGGCCTTATACTACGCGCGCGTATTCCTGGTCCTGTTCTGATTGGTTAGTTGTTAAGTTTAATTGACACTCCGGAAAGGTCAATTTTTGTTCCTTGACACAAAGTTCCCGGAACCACCTCTGTCGAAAATGCGCGAAGCAATCTAATAGCAAATTTGGATTGCGGATCTCATGACATGGTTTGTTGCGTCGCACTAGGAATACACAAAAACGGCCTGTATCTCTCATTTGAGACGTGACGCGACTCAATTCGTGGTTTGGGAAGGTTGTTTAATACCAAAGCTTTCCTATTAAATTTACGTAGATAAATATCGTAATTATTATTATCAGGCCAAAATAAAAATTAATAAAATTTGTTGTAACTCACTTTGATGACGTGAGCATTCATGTTGACACACCTCATTCATGTTACTACTACTGTATGGTAGAGAGGGATTAGGAGAGACTTTTAGAGATGTGCTAGTCTACAGGTGGGCTAAGTGCAGCACGACTGCAGCCCACAAAATTAAAACCCTGTAAAAACTGCACATAAAAAGGTGTCACTTCTTCTGCTAAATTTATCTCATGTTGTGTGCCTCAGGGCACGAAATTAGGACCTATTCTATTTCTTGCACTTATTAATGATGCTGTAATTGATTACCCACACCGTTGGAAGTATGTTGATGATCTAACTTTGGGGGAAATAACTAAACCTGAGCTTTCACTAGTGATTCAAAATGTACTATCTGACCTTGACCAATGTTGTAAAATGAATTATATGATTCCTAACCCTAACACATGTAAACTATGTATGTGTCATTTCTGAGATCTAAACCTGATCTTCCTGATTTAGTTCTCGACAATTCAACTCTTAAAACTGTTACCACACTTAAACTTCTTGGTTTAACTATACAAAATGACTTAAAATGGGATATCCATGTTGAAGAAATAGTGCTCAAAGTCTCCAAAAGGCTTTTCTCATTGTACATCTTTGAAAAAGCGAACGCATCCATAATTGATTTAACTGCAGTTTACACCATTTACATTCGACCTCTCTTAGAGTATGCTTGTCCTGTGTGGCATTCTAGTTTAACAGTTAAACAATCTAACCAGATTAAAAAATTTAAAAAAAAGAGTGTGTAAAATAATTATTGGTTTTCATGCATATTCGACGTACTCAGAGGCTTTAGATAGACTTAACCTTAATACACTTGCACGTTTAGAATTGCTTACTCGCTTTGCTAACAGTATTCGTGAATTCCAAAGATTTAGATACCTTTTACTCAACACCACTGAGGATCGTAGGTCATCATTAAGAAATGCTAAACAATTTACTATATTGAAATGTAGGACAGAAAGATTTAAAAAATCATGTATTCCATCTATAATTGCAATTTTAAACAATGAATCTTAGAGCATTTTATCTATTTTAGATATGCAATGAACTTTTTTACAGTATTTTATAGATACATCGAATTAATCATAATTTTATAATAATGTTTTTATTCTTTTTCTTGTTTTACTGATGTTAGTGTTCTTTTGTGCAATGTTTTTTATTGAATTTTTATTAAGTTTTTGTAACCGTGCCATTTCAGTTTTTTAACTGCCGGTCATGGATGTGTGTTTTTTATACCGAAATAAATAAATAAATAAAATTGAGTAATTTTGCATCAGTTTGGCATCCTCTCATCCTCCTCTGTTCCAACTCCCATCATGGTTGTTACTAAGTAATTAATTTTCTTTTGTTTCCCCATTTATTGAATTTTTATTAAGTTTTTGTAACCGTGCCATTTCAGTTTTTTAACTGCCGGTCATGGATGTGTGTTTTTTTTATACCGAAATAAATAAATAAATAAAATTGAGTACTTTTGCATCAGTTTGGCATCCTCTCATCCTCCTCTGTTCCAACTCCCATCATGGTTGGTACTAAGTAATTAATTTTCTTTTGTTTCCCCATTTAATATTTTTGAAAGGAACAAAAATCAATATCACTACTAGGCCCTATGATAGGGGACTATACCACCAGTACATACTCCACAAAGCTTTTTTTCATGGCAATTTCTCAAGGATAGCCTAAGAAAAGAGTAAAAGGTCTGCAGACACAATGCTAAGCTAGGACCTATTGCACTTCAGTTAGGGTTATTGAATCGACTGCCTGTGCTGTGCCCAACTCATACGGTATGCCGTGAAATAATTATACAGTATTTCTATTTACAACATTCTACCGTGCGAATAAGAGTTCGCACGGTACCATGCGAATAAGCTCTTATGAGTTTTATTCGCACGGTAAACCTAGCCAATCAGCATTTAAGGTTTCATGACGTAACGACTGTCATACCGTGCGAATAAGTTCTTATTCCTAATTCGCTCGGTACCGTGCGAATAACCTCTTCCTTATCTGATACACTCTCATTTCCTCAGATGGTACGTCACGTTACAGTGGTATTGATTTTATACAGTATTTCTTTTGAAGTGAGTTGTGCTTATTCTCTTATTCCAGATTTGGAAAGTGTTCACGTTATCCAAGTGTATTTCTGTGTGTTCACCTGTCATACTAAATGCTCTTTCATAAAATCTACACCTATGAAGAAGTGTGACAATACGTGGTCTATAACAACAATCATAGCTAACTCTCTCCATCTTCATAAAATTCTACCTCCCCACCACACCTATTGAACTCCAATGTTCCGCACCCACATTCAGTACAACATGCCAGGTGGCTCTCACTGGTTTGACCGTATGTCTCGTTTCGTAACAACGAACTTCATTTTGTCTATTACATCTTTTCCCACTGAAACCTAAATGCGCCATGCTTTTTTATTCATTATCACACACCTGACTCTAGTTCAATTTCCTCAGGGTCTATAGACGTTGTAAATGTTATGTCCTGTCTTAAAATGTAATCCAGTGCGCAGCTACTTTTTCTGACCGTCAAATTGTTCCACAGTACGTGGCTCAACAGAGAATTATTTTTAACTATACTGTTAGTGGTAAAATATGGAAAACCCCTTAAAATGTTAACTAAAATAATTAAGTGCTTATTTAAAAGCTTAAAATAGGTAGGACTTTATCTTGAGAAGAGACAGAGTGTGAATGTCCGGATTTTGCTGATTTACAGATAAATTATACGAACAAGTTAAAAGGACCGTTATTATTTGTGCGCAATACATATGTAACTTACTTAAATGCACTCAGAAAGCCAGATAATCTATTATATTTTTCGAAGTGTGTGTATGTTCGACAAAGTGTATCCTGAATATAACGAGGCCATAATTGTGTGATATAGCTTATTGCTGAAATCTGTATCACACGTTTTTTTTAAGGTATACGTTACCGAAAATTCTTTCAGCACTTCAACCATTCGGTAATGGGTGATTTGAATCCCAACTAGA